TTACAGTGCATATCTGTTATGCTTAATCTGTTCACCTTGTATTTCATTACAGTGCATATCTGATAATATGCTTATTCTGTTCACGTTGTATTTTATTTTATCACCCAATAATACATTCTACAGTAGATATCGCTTGTGTGATAAATTTCATAATCTACTGCGATGTCTCCTTATCGCTTTACATGAATTTGATTGGCCAGTTAAAAAGGAACTACTTTTTTTGTATTTTCAAAGAACAGTTCAATTTTTATTGAAATTGACTCCCTTTTTTTTATTAAAAATGAATTACTGTATTTTTATTTAATTGACTTTGGTGCAAACACTGGGCCAATATAAAGGACTTTGCAATGGTTGAATTGCTGTCAGAGAATGATGTATCACTACGCCGTAATGTAATCAGGTTCAGTAAAAGTGAAGTCTATAGCAAAGAATAATATTTATTTATTTTTGCACGTAAAAGTCTTTTTTGACATTAAAATATATTAACACTCATTGATAAAATATAAAAAAAAGTCGGCAGAGCCTCGTTTTTTGTTACTTTATCAACTTGTGTTGATATCAAAAAAGACTCGTAGGAGATTCTCTATATAGTATATATTTGTTATGCTTAATTTGATCACATTGTATTTCATTACAGTACATATTTAATATGCTTAATTTGTTCATATTGTATTTCATGACAGTACATATTTGTTATGCTTAATTTGTTCACATTTTATTTCACGACAGTACACATTTTATATGCTTATGCATATTGTATTTCATTACAGTGCATATCTGATAATATGCTTATTCTGTTCACGTTGTATTTTATCACCCAATAATACATTCTACAGTAGAGATAGCTTGTGTGATAAATTTCATAATTTACTGAATTTCATAATCTACTTTACATGAATTTGATTGGTCAGTTAAAAAAGGAACTACTTTTTTGTATTTTCAAAACAGCTTTAACCAGGGTTTCAAATGATATTTTAATGGAAATTGATAATAGAAAATGTACATTTTTAATTTTATTAGATTTATCTGCTGCTTTCAACATTCTATTCTTTTACGTAGACTTCATTTTAAATTCGGTATTTGTCGCTCTGCGTTGAATCTTTTAGAAAGATATCTTGTTGGTAGAAAACAGTATATTTAAGTTAATTGTAAATCGTCGTCTCAATCTGTTTTGTCATCTGGGGTTCCTCAAGTTTCCGTTCTTGGTCCGATTTTATTTACCCTTTTTATGTCATCATTAGGCGATATTGTCAGAAAATATGGCCTCAGCTTTCATTTGTACGCCGATGATACTCAATTATATATTTCATTTACACCTAATTGTCCATCTTCTTCAATTTATCAAAATTGCAACTTGAGAACTTTATTAGTGAAATTAGAAAATTGACGTCAAAAAACTTACTAGGCATCAATTGTATAAATTTTCACATGATAACCCCCCTGTTGTAATTGGAAATTGTGATATATTTCCATCTTATTCTGCTCGTAATATTGGCGTACATCAGATAAACTACTTTTAAAACCCCAAACTGTTCCACTAGTCTCTTATGGTCAGCGCTCTTTTAGTTATAAAGCACTTGTTTTATGGAATAATCTACCATTTAGTTTAAGATGTTGTACGTCTCTATATTCTTTTAAAAACAACTTAAATCACATTTATTTAAAAGAGCTAAACCGTTAATATTTGGGACCTAGAAATTGACACAAATGGGTCGCAACGCATATAATAATGTAATATGAATGTATATAAACTGATTTACATTCAATCGTTTCCGTTTGTACTCAAACTTTATATCAGTTATGTTCGGCGAAATACGCCAGAAATCTCAATAGAATGGCAATCTCTAGCGTCTGCTTATTTCAGTCTACATCGATAGTATTTAGTGCGCATGCTCTCTCGATAAGAATATGGTGTCACCGTTTGACATGACTCGTGGAATGTGTCTAGCCTCGTTCTTCGAAGTCCCTTGTTACAAATGGCTCTGGAACGCATTATGGTACACGATTCGTGTACCAATGGTAAAATGTATATTTTGTCTTAAATATTGGATATCAGAAGCCCATCGTTTCCCGGTAAGATCACAACATCAATGTTGATTTAAATTGACAAATAATTGGTGTTTTCAATGTCAAAGACTTTCGATGTTATTGAGTTAGAGACTTAGCTACTTTAATCAGACTTTTAACCGACTCTGTATACAATCTTGAACATGTCCATAATCGATTATATTTTTTATTTATGAATATATTTTCACTTTGTAAAGTGCCCCTGAACATGTTATATGAAAGGGCTCACTATAAATATGTTGTAATAATAATAATTAATTTGTTCATAATGAAATGGTGTTTAACGTCTTATTCTTCTCCATCGGGTTTTCCAAATGTCAGGGTATATTACAAGTACACGCCCATTTGAAAAAGGGCGCTTTCCCGTACCGGGCCAACCAACCTGTATAACTTACACGGGTTGGGGGACTTCCCGATGAATAGTAAGCGAGCACTTTACTTCTTGTATTCTCTTGTATTTGCAATAGCTATCTCATTAGTGTATTGTATTTAAATTAATACAGATTATATACGTATAAACATTTGCACATATTGGAATGAAAATTTTTCGTCCTAAGTGAAAAATCTTATAAATCTCATATGGTTAGTAAGCCAGGGCTTAAGCACTGATCCACCGTGACCCCTCGCTGAAATATATAATTTACTCGAGTTTTTAACAGACATTTATGAACAATATGTCGAATCCAATTTGTATTTTTCTTATTTCATTGATAGGAGGAGATTGATGATGTCTGATTTTCTGTTTGTCACAAAGTTTATTTCATGTGTGAGCTGAGCTAACACATACAAAATGAACAATGTTTAATAAATATGTTTACCTCCTTTTTTGAGCAATGTTAGAATGTGACTTGGTGGCTAAGTGAGTAAGGCGCTGGCTCGCTAGTCTGGGGGTCGGGTGATTGATCCTTGCAATGGTCGAGAAAGTTCATCGGAATTTTCCGACATGTTTTCCCTTGTCTTACACGTAAAAGATCCCTTGGCAGTTGGAATTCGGTGTAAGAGTAGGGCATAGTGCCGCTGCCCGGGCAAAATTTCCCTCATAGCAGACAGTATGATGTATGCCTGTCTTCATTAGCACAGTTGGAGTAAGACGTTAAACCCCATTCCATTTCATTTCAGAATGTCACTTGTTTTAAACTGGTATTGTCTGACGGTATTCTTCTTTTATGATCGTCACAAAGAACCGGAATTTATTTAGACAGTGTCTCAAATTGTGAAAAAAATGACCAGGAAAATCTGATTTCATCTGTTTTCGGTAAATGGTTTGTATTAGTGTTCATAGGTGATTTAAATACTGCCAAATAGTACATGACTATTATTGCGCGTTCTGAAACTTTTAAAAAGATAGTTAGAAATTAACTTGATTCTATAAACCAAATAGCATTTAAACATATAACAATGTTAAAATCACTTTCCGCGAAGTCTCTAATTTGTTAACGGGTAGCCCCGTCAAAGTTCTTATATTCATTGTTCTAAAAGTCTAGTTGTGTCATTTTAGCGCCATATGAATCACTTGAAAACAACAATATTGTGAAAGATGAAGCTTGAAAAGGAATATCAGTCCAATAATGGTTCAATTCCGTTCAAAATTAACAAAGATATTATGTTGAATTGAAATTTCATGGATGTATGTTGTTCGCCATTTTGTTGTCCGCGATTAATTATTGATGGGCCCATTTTTAATTCGATTGAATCCAAGCCGGGTGACTAGCTTTGGTATTTTGATTTGGTTCATTAGCTTGAATTAAGCCGTCATAAATTTGATATTTAAGCAAAAAATGCATATGACGTATCTTTACTTTAAAAGACAAGTAACCATTTCGGACATTTTTTTTCATAGACTTGGTTTACTGATACATCTTTCAACGATAAATTCCGTCTGAGGCTTCGCCTGCTTTGAACTATCGCCGGTAAGCCTGTCTGATTCCAACGTTTTCTAATTTTCATTGTTGAATCGGGTTTTGGGTGATACATGTAAACCGCATAACCGAACCATAAACCTCATTGACATTCTTTGAATAGTTTCGATCTATATTAGGTACAACTTATACAAGTTTCGAGACCGCAAAAATAGCGGACCACGGTGTCTCAGTGGTAAAGGCTCTGGCTCACGACTTAGAAGGTTCAATTCCGTTCAATATTAACAAAGATATTATGTTGAATTCAAATTTCATGGATCCATGTTGTTCGCCATTTTGTTGTCCGCGATTAATTATTGATGGGCCCATTTTAAATTCGATTGAATCCAAGCCGGGTGACTAGCTTTGGTATTTTGATTTGGTTCATTAGCTTGAATTAAGCCGTCATAAATTTGATATTTAAGCGAAAAATGCATATGACGTATCTTTACTTTAAAAGACAGTGAACCATTTCGGACATATTTTTCATAGACTTGGTTTACTGATACATCTTTCAACGATAAATTCCGTCTGTGGCTTCGCCTGCTTTGAACTATCGCCGGTAAGCCAGTCTGATTCCAAAGTTTTCTAATTTTCATTGTTGAATCGGGTTTTGGGTGATACATGTAAACCGCATAACCGAACCATAAAACTCATTGACATGTTTTGAATAGTTTCGATCTATATTAGGTACAACTTATACAAGTTTCGAGACCGCAAATATAGCGGACCACGGTGTCTCAGTGGTTAAGGCTCTGGCTCACGACTTAGAAGGTCCCGCTGTTGTCCAAGAATGTGCCTCGGATTTCCCCTTGTCAGTAGAGCAAAACTGAAGCCTGGCAAAGAACAATGTCTAGTCCTTGCGATGGAACTAGAAACCGACGTGGCGTGTACGTAACAAAACTCTTGGTAGTTGGAATTCGACGAAAAGTAGGTGGGAAAAATTTTCTTCATAACGTAGAAAAATAGGACTTTAAACGCAACTTCATTCCACAGAAAATATATTTGTTTAACGCTTAAATTTCTAAAACTTACCGTTTAAAAGAGTTAATCTCCACAAGTTTCCAAATCCAATTTTCTGTCACTTGCGAGTGTCAAAAGTTAATATCAATTCCGTTACGCACTTAGTATACCTTCGTATATATGACTAAAAATCACGACTGGGAAATACAAGACCAGATCATTAGAACTAACAAAGTTCTTCAAGTAGCATCTGGTTCGAAGCTTCACAATGGATTAAAAACTAAACAAGCGTTCACCCAAACAGATCTCTAATTGTATAAGCATCTGAGTAGACGAGTCGATAAACTCAACTGGTATTGGCTGATGTTAAAATTACTGGTATTTATAACCTATAGAGCTCGTTTGTTCGCTGCCGAACAGCGATCGATGACGGCTGTTAAATTGAAGTTTGTCGTTCACTAGGATTAACAAATAAATCAAAACTTTTTTTTTATAAATCATATCGAAAGAAATCTTATTCTTTAAATGTGCCGTTGGCGCCTGGTTCATATTTGGCTATCTGAGGTTTTCGGTTTGTTCGTCCGAATTTCCCTTCGTGGTCTACGTTTATGATCAATCGTTTCTATGAAAAGGGCGTTTTTTTATTGTTCAGTTTAAGTGTTTGTTCATTCAGCTGCCTTAGCAACTGTGACTGGGTGAGGGGTCGCTAGGCTCGCTAAGGAGAGCCGGGGTTCTATCCTGTAGTTGGCACAGTACATCTAGTCTTTCGGATAAGGACAAATTACCGAGGTCTCGTGTATATGTTGGCGTTAGAAAAGCCTTGACAGTTGGAATTCGCTGCCTTGGCAAATTGTACCTCATATCCGTCTTCAATAGCCCAGTTGGCAAAGCAAAGTAGGACATTACAGTTCAGTTCATCAAGCGCAATCGATGCAGTGAATGTTCTTTGTACGGGGCAGGGTGCACTACCTACTCTGTCTAAAACATACGAGACCACTTCTCATTTGAAGGGTTCCCATAGCTACCATACTGTGATGTAATTTTGTTTGCTTAATGCATTTCGCACAGCTGCTTTGTTCAATTTCTATATATTGCGCTTATTGATGCAACGTTTCTTGATTATTTAATGTTAACGTACTTAACTTTATTGATTTAATCAATACACCTACACCATGTTTTGAAACAAACGATATTTAATCAATATGTACCCATATCACTAATGTCTTACTTAGTTATGTGGTTTAATTTAATTTAAAGGCTCGATGTGTCATTTAGCGCTATCTCAATCCCATACAAATCACCCAATTGTTAAAGTTTAATCTCTAATAGGGGTATCTGTCCGAAAAAGGTTCAATTCAGTTCAGTATTTACAGTTGATAAATTGAAATTTCATAGATCTATGCTGTTCGAATGAATAGGGCTGATTGGCCTAGTCTAAAACCGATTGAAGAAATTCGACGGGCTTATGGCATAACGAGCATCATAAATCGATGAAATTTCACATATCTTTGTAAATACTGAACGGAATTGAACTATTATTTGACTGTTATTCCTATTCAAGATTCACCTTTCACAATTTGGTAGTTTGCCGGGGATTGATACATCTATGGCGCTAAAACGACGTAATGAGACCTTAAAGCAACGAATACGAGAACTTCTATTTTAGCGCTCGCCATTAACAAATAGAGCATCGGGACTTAAAAAGTTGACTGAACTTGCTGCATCGACAAGCAGTCATAATAATGTACCAGTATTATTTCACAATGAAAGTCAAAAGTTTTAAGCAAATATGGATGTACCACTTGCGCCTGCAACATGGAAACCCTGGTTAAAAACTAACACTACTGAGGCAGGGGAGATCTATATTATAATGTCTATACTCTATTACGTTCATGTTCTTAAGCGAAATTATCGAATTCGGGGACAAAGAAGGGCAAGAAATACACTGCCGATGAAAGCTGGGATCAAAATCAACACCCCTGCATCCCGTTAACCGGTCGCACTACTGACTAATTCTCATTAATTAGACAACTGAGTCTATTAGTTAGACAACCTTGTTGGTGAGTATTGCGACTGGGTGGCGGATTTGCCATGTTACAGGCGCCGGTGGATGAACCATATCGAACATCGTCTCACTGATGAATGTTGTGTGTGTATATCAGTTACTTAAAACTGTTACGTTAAACACGGACAACTGTTGGTCTATAGACATATTGATTCCGTCTGGAAACTTACTCCCAGGGTATTTTATATTATAAATACTGAGGGCTAATTAAGCGTACTGTACGTACATTACGACGATTCGACATATTTTAACGTGTTCATTTCGCTCTTAAGTGGTATGTCGATTCTTTGGGGACAAATTTCTGTTGTGTTTTGTACAATTGAACCATATTGAACTGGTGTTTCCTTGATTGACTGAACAATAATTGTTTATAATTGTTTATGGTAATTGAGAACTTTTCTCCAACAATATTACTGGATGTAAAAAGTAGTTCCGTTTTAATATTTAAAAAAGTAGTTCCCTTTTAATTGACCAATCAAATTCAAGTAAAGCTATATCTTCTATCTAGCTAAATTTCATTTCGACATAAGGACTCAGACTAGCAAGTATTTGCCCATTGACTTCAATGTTAAATGACTGTAACATCACAGGCTGTAGCTTTTTGCTCAACATTCCGTTGGTTCCAATCTTTATAGGCACAATGGGGACAACATTTGGCAATCTCCTCATCATAATTTTGTAGGGGGTTGACCGTTTAGATTTTTTGCTACACGGATTTGAAGTTGACAGGGGTGAAAATCTCACTTCCGACACAATGATTGCTCTGCAGAAAGACACTTTACACCCCCTATCCCTCCGCTGTAATATCATCAGTATTGCCCCAAACTGCTCTGAAATTGCAAATTTGATCCCCTTTCTCCAATAATAAGGACTAAGACTAGTAATTATTTCCCCTTATTTCACGAATGTAGTGCGAGTTATAAATAGACAATTTTTCCCTTAATTTTTTTCTCCCCTCTTCCTGCATATTTGGGTTGACTTTTTGGTCTAGAATTGGAGAAAAGGGATCAAATTTGCAATTTCATAGCAGTTTTGGGTAATACTGATGATATTACAGCGGAGGGATAGGGGGTGTAAAGTGTCTTTCTGCAGAGCAATCATTGTGTCGGAAGTGAGATTTTCACCCCAGTCAACTTCAAATCCGTGTAGCAAAAAATCTAAATGGTGTACCCCCACATACTGACTCTAGCGATTTCTCACTAACATGTTCCTTTACATTGTACAAACGTTCACAAGGAATGACATGCGACCGTTTAGCAGTAAAAAGTTGTCCAATAAGATTTACTGGGAACTCAAATTATTTCGACAAGGAGTCAATAGGCCGTTTCCTGAACGTATAGGACGAGTGTAATGAGACCTACGTTCAGAGCTGAACTATTCCAAAGTGTGCCGTTGGCAAAAAAAAGGGTTGAGAACCACTAATCTAGTCGTTTGGATGTGTAAACACCGAGGTCCTAGACACTTGTAATTCAAAATTAGAGTAGGCCGTAGCACCTATGTCCGGGCAAACTTCCCCTCAAAGCACACTGCATTGCGTATTCCCGTCTTCATTGACATATTGGTTTCAATATTAGCCTGTCTAATGAACATCGACTAGAGTAAAATATTATTGCCAACAGGCATTAAGACATTGCACGAGTTGTTTAATACGATCGAGTTTCTCCGTATTATTTCTATTAAGGTGATTATACCCTTATGTTATATCGTTAAGTGTAGTCGGCAATCTAGTATTGAGCGAAAACTGGTTTGCTATAAAGTACAAAATGAAGCCAAGAGATCTGTCTGTTATTTTTTTAGTTCTTGGGAGGTGAGGGTTGTAGTGTTGGATATTGTCAAAAGCACTAAAGGGATATTGGCAATTACAACAGCTGTATGTACCACTGCAATCTGACCATGGTGTTGAGGTGCAAAAATTCCCCCGGGCTTATTATTTGTCGATGTGCTCCAGTTTCTTTGTCTGGTTAATCGGGGTAACTCAATCGTTTAACGTCTATAAAATTAGTACCAATTAGCCAAGCAATATTTATTTTCGACGTTGCTGGTGGCGTTACACACTGATCGTCAGTGAATATTCGCAAGGCCGCTACAGTCACTGAAAGGGATGACATCGGCGCGGGTTAATTGGCCCGCCATATTAATGGAGCTAAATCACTAAAATTTGGTGCATAGAAATTGCCACGAATGGGTCGTAATGCATACGTAATACGAATGTATATAAACTGATTTACATTCATTCGTTACAATACTTTCTAATCAGTTATTTTAGGCAAAATACGCCAGAACTCTCAATCGAATGGTAATCTCCAACGTCTGGTTATTCCGGTCTATACCGAAAGTATTTATCGCGCATGCTCTCCAGATAAGAATATGGCGTCACCTTTTGGCATGACTTGTGGAATATGCCTAGCCTCGTTCTTCAAGCCCCTTGTTACAAATGGCGCTGAAACGCATTGTGGTACACGATTCGTGTACTAATGGTAAAACGTTTATTTTGTCTTAAATATGGGATATCAGAAGCCCGTCTTTTGTTGGCAAGATCAAAACATCAATGTTGATTAAAATTGACAAATAATTCGTGTTTTCAGTGTCGAAGACTTTGGATGATATTGAGTTGGAGACTTAGCTACTTTAACTTTGTTCCTTCCTTAGGCAAAGTAAATTCTACAAAATTCTTTGAACAGTTAGAAAAATAAATAAAGGTGTTATATATCTGGATAAAAAATACATTTCCTTGAAATATACAGAAATAAAGAAATGAAATGGGGTTTAACGTCCTACTGTTCTGCTTCAAACTGGGCCAATGAAGCTTTTAAAATTAAAAATAAAGTAAGGAATGAATTGATAATTACAAATACAAGTATAACTGAGAAATAAATTGTGATAATGAACAATCAAACCACGTGTTGTTATGGAAATCAAAGTATGTGTGTGTGAGTGTGTGTGCTATACTGTTCTTTTATATGTGTTATATTCCAAGATATTGATTTACACTATAATATCTAAATGAATTTACATTAGCTGGAATTGTTGGATAAGATATGTGTAAATTATCCAAAAAGGCTTGCTCACAAAGTGGACTTATTCACATGGGAGTAATTTTATGACTATGGAATGATGCATGGTGTAAAAATTGTTGACAGCCTGAAAGATTGACGTGATAGTAACAGAGATCCGAGAATCTTTTAACGCCTATTATCCAAGTAGACGAGGGGATTTTCATTTACAGAACTGAATCAATCAAGTAATCTAATTGTAGTTTGATTCCATCAAC